TCAGCATGCACCACTGCTTTCAGTAAGCTCTCACTGTCAGCACGGTGCTGTCTTTGGAGCTGAAACTTTTGAACTTGAAATGGCAAGCTGTTTTTTTTGTTCCTCAATACAAAGTTTTCTGACAGTGCTTTGCTTTTATTTGACATCAGCTTACTTGGCTCAACAAGTGACACATTACAACATATGGATTTATCAGCTATTTTATCATTTTGTAATTGTAAAATGATTAGCAGATGCCCCCCCCCCCCTTGTGCTGAGTCTAGCTCCGCCCCCATTTAATCGATTAATTAACATATCAACAAAATAATTGTATTATTACCAGAATCAGAGGAAAATCTGCAATCAAACAGCACCCACGCTGAGCCCAGTTTTCTATAATGAACATGTATTTATTGGTAAGAGGTTGACAGATGCACGGGATGTACATTATTACAGGCCAGGAGAACAGAAACAACTTGAAAGCAGAACACTGGCATCTTGTCTCAGTGAGAGACCCCTGAGGGAGAGTGGGCTAGTCAGCATCTTCATCTGGGCTGGAATGAGACTCTGTTCTCCTTCTTCTCCTGGCCCTCCTTCCTCTTCTACTCTTTCTTCTTGTAGTCCTCAAGGTGAGCCAGTATCCAGCTGGAGGGGCCCAGGATGGACACAAACAGGGCTGTCATAGCTATTGCCTGCTCCTGAGGGACAAACACACGGTGATGGTTGACTTCATATTAATTATTATGTCTGCCTCCCTGTTCTCGCACTGTGCAAGAGAAGAACAGGAAGAGAAGCTGAGTTTTCTCTAAACAGCATGCAGTGGAATAAATGAGCCTACAATAAAATAGCCTTTTGATCAGACCTGATGGTCTGAATAACTCACTACATCTGTCGCTTTTTAGAAATAACGTCACTGAAAAGTCACCATGTCACAGAGACTGTAACGAAACCTGTGTGTGTGTGTGTCAGGAAGGGATGGGCAGAGACGTATTATAGAGGAGACATGCCACTTTAGGAATCCTCAATTTAACTCTATAGTGAAAGCCTGTAACACCAAAGGTGGCAGTTATCCCACCCCTCCCGCTAGAAAGCCAATCATCTGCTTTTAATAGCCGAGGCGGGAAACATATTAATCCAATCGTGTGGTTCCACTGATGGAAAGGTCTACTACGCATGCGTCACTACTACCACACATGCATAACAGAAGTGTAACCAGTTGGGAAAAATGCTTTTTAAACCTTATTTTGGGGCAAAGTCCCAGATTTTAGTGGTGATTTTATGGTGATTTTATGTGTGACCAGTGAAACTGCAGATCTGGCTCTCTCCCCATTCATTTAGATAGAAGCCTGGTCTTGTTAGTCCGAAATAACCCCCCTAGGGCATTACCAAGATGACTGCCGAGTGCAGGACTTCCCAATAAGGACTTTGGGATGGGTCATGGTTTTTGAATTTTTGAAAAGTCTGTATATTATAAAAAATTATATATTTTATTTGACTATTGTCTAGTCTGCGATTACTGAAATATTTTTCCTTGAGATGCCCATCCCTAGTGTCAGGTACCCGTGTGTGTGTGTGTGTGTAAGGGGGCGGACCTATGTTTGCCACAAAGTATTCAGTGGTTGTATGAGCTCATAAGTCATATTCATGTCAAATATTTTGGAAGCAAAAAAGACACATATATCAAAATAATTAAAAATGCTTTGGACTCGTAGAGAACGAGAGCTATTAACTGTTTGTGTACTAAATACACTGACAGTGACAGACAAGAATATTTATGTTTTAATTTTTGGATCAAAATTATTGCTAAGGAAAATTTACTAGTTGCTGGTAGGGACATGTCTCTACCATCCCTGCTAAGTTTTACTACCTTGAGCAAACATGGCAGAAGTACACTGTTATAAAATACACTGTCCAGACTTAAACTTTTCCCAAACAAGCAAGCATCATTTCATAGCTAAAGTTTTAAAGGTCAAAGGTTTTCAAAGTGTGAGGCGGGCCTCTACAGGGGGGCTCCAAACTGAAAAATATTACATTAGTTATTCCATTAGTTATCAAAAGGAGATCACATAGAGTAGTCTAAATGTGTGTGATTTGGTTAAAGAGTTACTTCAGAGATACAAAGTTTTTTCCACTTCCTGGGACAGACCTTTTTTATGTAGTTGGTGTTGTCTGAAGTTATGTCAAACAGTTGCATTACGCTATTTTTGCTCAACTGTTGAGTGTCTGTGGGATCAAATAACATAATCATGATCCCATAGGCATCCAGGAATTGAGCATGGGGGCTGACTTTTTTCAAGCTTTTTCTGAGGATAAAACAGAGATGAGCAAGTTAATGCTAGTATCAAGCAAGATTAAGTATTTGTACAATAATCTATATAATAACAATGCTCTTTTCTTGTATAGCACCTCACTTCACCTTTACAATGCAAAAAGTGCTTCACAAAGCATAAACATCTGAGAACACTAATTAAACATGGACAACATAAAAATACATTTAATACATTAAAAAAACATTTATGTTGTGTCACAGCTGGCCCCACATGCTGTTTTTTTTTTTTTTTATCATCCTTCTTGATAAATAGTCTTTGTTCATCAAATTCATAGTGATAATGCCTGTACAGCAATCATTTCTGCTTGTTCTTGTTTTCTAGTCTAGGAGACCAGGAAATGTTACAACTGACCCCAGGCTCACCTAGTTCTCACCCTTGAGCCTATGTGAGTTGAAGCTTTATTAATATGTACTGCTAAAGTTGGTATTCATGATCAACCTTCCCCGGTCTTAGTGGGGCAATTACTGGCCAGGTGAGCTGAATAGGCCCTACTCGAACATTATATGAAACTGAGTAAACAATATTGTGGTGTTCAAACAGTCCCTGTGTCACCGTGAGCTAAAATACGTTGTGTCTAAATACAATCACCATCGTCATGTTTCACCGTACTTTAAATGGGTTCGGAACCACCGAGTCCGACCTTGTTTAAACGTCAAGGTCGAGCACTTGGCACCTGCTGCACGGGGCCCCGTGTGTGTGCACAGCGGCACCATATCAAACTTCCACGGTTACACTTCGGGTTCACTACAATATTAAACTTCTGCTGTGCTGACTATATTTTGGAAGGAAAAAAAAGTTCTACATTCGGCTGTAGGTAATGTGACCATTTCGGGGTACGGTCTATAGCTTTCTATAGCTTTCTATTTATGTCTGAGCGGGCAGACGTGTCTACGTGTTGGAATTAGCCGGAATAATGGCGATATACTGACGCACTTATCTAAAGGGTTAAATTATATTTAGTAGAATATATGTTTATATTAGGTTATGGTATAGCCTAAGCACGAAAAATAGGATTTCAACATTCCGTAAGGATATCCTTTTAAAGTATGAGATAAGCAAGACAATGTCAAGTTTGACGCAGTCAGGAAAGTCCCCCCTGCAGGCAGGATCATGCTGCTCATATCAGGCCAAGATGCGCTGCAACGCGGACCTGCTGCTGTTAACACTTAGTAAAGCTAGCTAACGGTGATCCATTAGAGCAGTTTGCCCCTGCCGGATGAGGGTACTTGTTGTGGTTATATTAGTTCAAAGTGAACATGAACTCACCCCTGCAGAGATATTGTGTTTGGCAGGTTTGGACGCCACATTAGCCGCAGGGACCAGCTGAGTCCTCAGCGCGCTCCTGAAAAGCCGAGAAACGGTGGGCAGAGGCATAGCCACGGGTCAGTGCTGCTGAAGAACTGCAGGAACACCAACAGGACGGTCTATCGATACTGACACTGCTTGCCTTGCTTTCACTTTACCTCTAGGACCAGGCGTAACGTGCGCGCGGGTGTAACAGAGATAGAGAGAGTTACGTCACGTTGCAGCGTCGGAATTTAATTGGCCGTCTGACCTCCAGATATCTGACCCGAGATGAGCGCGGGACGCGTCCTCATTTCACCCCTCTTGTGGTTCTGCTTTCTGGCGCTGGAACATGTTCCTCCACAGTGCAGCTGCTCAGAACTCACCTGCACCCTGAGCTGTAGCCTAGATACAAGGAGAGGCAGTGTTTGGCCTTAGATTACAAACACATGCCATGTAAATCCATCTAACATCTATGAACATGGTTGCGTTGGTTTGAATGGTATTTAGTTTGGTAAGGCGCCGTATTTGTGTAGCACAAGTCAAGTGCAAGTGATTGGTATAAGAAATGGACACAAACAACAGGCTAAATGACATTAAAAATAAAAAATGGCAGACTGAAGAAAAATAAGGTAGAAGTAAAGTAGTGGCAAACCTGTTTTGCTCTTTATTTAATAGTAATAAGACTTTTTTAGCAGCAGTAGTAAAGATAGTAGCAGTAGCGTCACTAGTGGTTGCAGTAACAGAAACAGTTGGCTAATACAAGTGTTGGCAGTTTTACTGATTGTAGTGGTTGTTGGCAGGACAGTTGTACCTCTGAGGTAATCCCACCCTCTAGTGGATCATCAGTGAGGTGCTTACTGATCACACAGCCTTATTAACTACCCTTTTGGCTGTGTACTTGATGGATGAGGCTACTAGCTTTGACTCTGGGGCTGCAACTAACTTAGAAAAGTCTTCATCAAGCTAAAGTACTAAAATAATACATGAAGACAAAGTAACTGTTAAAGCTTTGTTTGGTATACTAACATTACACACTTGTTGAATACATGTTACAACAAGTGTGAAATGTTAGAACTTATAAATCCACAAAGCAGCCTGGACCAGTCTCGGTCTCCCACTTAAGAGCTGTGCTAATTAGCTGTCTTTGGTGTTCACAGACATCTTTAACTCACTGGAGACATGACTTATTATGTTTCAAGTCCCCAGCCATCGTTCCCACCCCCCCAAAAAACAAAGACCACTGGACATAATCACTACAGACCCATCTGTAGTAATGATTTCATCTGGGCGTCTTGTGTTGTCCCACCTCACATCTATCACAAACCCACTCCTGGACCCCCTGCAGATGCAAAAACATGGCCCATCACTTCATCCTCCAGCACCTGGACTCCTCACTATGCCAGGATGCTGTTTGTGGATTTCAGTTCCACCTTCAACACCATCATCCCAGCACTGCTACAGGGCAAGCTTTCCAAGCGCAGTGTGCCTGACTCCACCTTCAGGTGGATCACAGACTTCCTGTCTGACAGGAGGCAGCGCATGAAGCTGAGAAAACATGTCTCTGACACCGGTTCCCCTCAAGGCTGCATCCTTTCACTTCTGCTCTTCTGCCTGTACACCTTCAACTACAACTACACCTTCAGTCACCAGTCCGTCAAGCCCCTGAAGTTTGCGGATGACACCACTGGGTTCATCTCTGGTGGGATGAGTTTGCCTACAGGTGGGAGATTGACCATCTGGTGACTTGGTGCAGCCAGAAGTTCAACCTGCCAAAAGACAATGATGGTGCATTTCTACACCACCATCATCAGTCCATCCTTACCTCCTCCATCACCATCTGGTACGCTGCTGCTGCTGCCACTGCCAGGGACAAGGGCAGGCTGCAGCGTATCCTTCGCTCTGCAGAGAAGCTGATTGGCTGTAATCTTCTATCCCTCCAGGACCTGTACGCCTCCAGGACTCTGAGGCGAGCAGGAAAGATTGTGGCCGACTCCTCCCACCCCGGATTCAAACTGTTGTGAGACTCTCCCCTCTGGTAGGAGGCTGCGGTCGATCAGGACCAAAACATCTCACCACAAAAACACTTTCTTCCCGTCTGCACCCGGCCTCACTAACAAGGCCCGGGACCCCCACTGACACCCACTCTTATCTCATCCCCCACAGCCACTACATGTTAAATTAATATAAAGTTCAATTTAATTCAATTCAATTTTATTTATGTAGCTCCAATTCATAACAAAAGTTCTCTCATTACACTTTTCCCACAATTCCCACCATGAGCAAGCATTTGGCGACACAGGCAAAGAAAATCTTCCTTTTAGTAGGTAGGAACTGAGCAGAACCATGACTCAGGCAGGGGCCATCTGCCTTAAGTGGTTGGAGGGGAGAGAGCGGAGTTGAGGTAGGGCTAGAGAGAGAGAGAGAGAGAGAGAACAGCAGCCCAACATAATATCCACACAGAAATGCAAAACAACAGTTAAGGTGGTAGTAGTAGAGACATCAATGAAAATGAATAATAATACTAATGATGACGGCAATATTAATTAAAATAAAATTCGGACTAGTAATAATAATTGTAGCAGTGGGTGTTGAGCAGGAACATGGGGGCAGTTCCTTCACAAAGGGAACACCTTTTTCATTAAAAAAAAAACCAAACTGATACATTCGACATATTATTTACAATGTTTATTGTCACATTTTGTCAATTTTCTATTTTCTATTTATACTTCCTGACTTGCAGTCGCCTACTTGCTTTCATTTTTTTTATATATCTTCTACTTACTATGTTTATTGTTATTAAAATAAAGAAACACTAAGGCAAATCCCTTTTATATGAAAACCTATTTGGCAGTAAACCTTCTTCTATTCTGATATTTGTTACTGCATCAAAGCTATCTATGAACCCGGGTTGACTGGTAAAACTAGCCTGTGGAAGCCTTTAGGCAAGTACATTGTATATCTAGATAAAACTGAGCTTCCGTTTTTTTCATCATGTTAACTGGAGTGATAAAATTGAGTTGGCTTTTCCTCTACAAGGTACAAGGTACAAGGTTGTTTATTAGTCATTATACAGCACAAGGCTACATAACAAAATGAAATTTGTAGTTCCATCACGCTACACACACAACATATGATTATGTGTAGGCTTCTATTAAATATGGTAACATATAAAATAAAATAAATGTACCCCAAACAATCCACAGCGCATTTTTTGAATTTGTATCTGGAGTTAATCTAAACAGCAGCAACCAGATGATAATATGAAAGTTTAATCTTCACAATAAATAGTCATAGGCATTTGGGTCCATCTTGACTGTGTTTGTGCACCAAGCATCATCGATGTAAAAGTCCACCTCTTATCTAATGTTCATACAGGGTGTTGCACATTATTTACAGTGCAGTGAATCCAAAAAGAAGCAACTAAGACAGAGAGACAGAGCTGATGGAGGCAGCTATAGTAAACGGTGGTTTTAAATGAGGCATTCGACAGCTCAATAAATATAAATATTACTCCAGCGGTTCTTACACACACTATGGACAGTGTGGATCTCTAGTATCATTTGTTTAAGTTGGATGTAAGCATGTTTGAATTTGATGTGTCTATTGTATGTGTGATGAATTCAATATTTTATTAGCACAATCACAAGATGAGGCTCCAGGTAAAAGAACAGGATCCACAACAGAGAGTGCTATCCTTGTAAGAGAAAAAACTTTCTTAAAGAACTGCATGTGACTCTTTGTATGCTGGAACCGATGTCACGGATACTACGTCCATTTTTATATACAGTGTATGGCTGGAACACATGTTCCAAACAAAACAACGTTGTTTTGTTTGGTGTGACCTGCAGGGGGCAGAGGTTCCACCATGATGAGTCGGCGCAGCCAGAAATACTCTGCAGAAGAAGGGCACGTGCCTCCTTACAGGATGTGTTGAGTCCAGCCTGGTACCTGTCTGTGCTTCTTGTGTTCAATACAGCAGTCACAAGAAATCGCTGGTAAGTCTCCGAAATTTCATTAACCTCATTGTCGCTAATATGTTAGCGATTACATTATCCAGATAACATACACTAAAGAAAAAGGCATCTTAGCATAACGTTAGCTAGGTTACAGGTTGGATGGTAACGTTCTTCTCTCTTATTAAGAGGATTCTTTTTTTAAAATTATTTGACGATAACGTTAACACATTTCAAATTCACCGTTTTACTGGCATGTAAAGTAACTTAGCTGTAGCATTTTAAACATGTAACGGTAGCTGGTCAAGGTGTTGTGTTAGCAGTTTGAGTTTGAACTGTTCACATGTTGGTTCTTGTGTGAACAGTTCCGTGTTAGGAATGAGGGGAAGATGGGCTAGGGTTAACGTTAAACTTTGGGATTACTTGTATGAACTTGTATGTTAGCGATGGCGGTAAAAACACGCTTTGACTCGGTTATAGCGCCAGTGTTTATATAAGTCCGTGTTCTCTGATCATTTGTTGTTCCCTGGCTGGCATATTGACTAACTTAATGTTAACGTTAGTAGCTTCTGTAACGTTAAATTGTTCACACAGTGCTCGCTGCCTTTGGTTTACAGTGTAGGCTATTTGAAGTTGTTTTATTATCAAAAAAGAGTCGACGAAATAACGTTATGCGTTGTTTGGTATTTAAATGAATGCCATAAAGTCTTGTTCTGTGAAGTGCCTGGAGGCAACGTTAAACAGCTAGCTTTTTGAATGGAGTTTGGTCCTAAGACGTTGTCAGTGTAACTTGGTGCTGCCTCGCGGCAGACAGCGCGCTTTGCTTCGCTTCGCTTCGACAACACTAACGTTACTTCTCTCCACGTAGGCATCTCTAATGACCTTTGAGTATTTTGTGTTTACATTTAGGGCAGGTCGCTATGCATTGTGCTGGAGCGGAAATGAAACGATTCTTCCTTCACGTCTTCTTGCGAGACCCAAGTGACGTAAATGACATTGGCTTTATTAAATGGATAACTCATTTTAGTAACTTCAGTTCTGAATGGGTTGTACAATCCAAAGCTGACTCTTAGACTAGAGTGTTTTACAGGGGGTGGGAAGACGTTTTTGCTGGGTGGCATAGGAGAGTGGTTTCTGTGTCTGTCTGTCTGTCTCTGATCCTGTCTCATCTTTCTCACACAGTTCATTCAAACCTCACATTTCAGTTATTTTCCTTCTTTCTCCCTCTTCGTTTTTTTTCACGTTTCCTGATCTCTTCCCACTGTGAGATTGTCATCCTTTGTCTCTCCATTAGAGGGTGACACAGGAGTGCATTTTCACTCCTGTCCCATCCCAATCCCATGACAGAGTAAAAACAATTCCTGTCCCTTCCTAATCCTGGAAGACTAACGTCAAATAATTTATTCACAGCACAGTGTTTATCATTATAATATGATACAATAATTGTAATGACATGAGTAATATATGGTATTATTATAATTAGGGCTGGACAATAAAACAATAATTATTGCGATATAATTTTTAAAACAATATAACAAATGTTCAATAAATATTCAATAAATGTTTGATTTTATTCACTTGAATAATACACTAATTAGGACTTAATTTTTTTATTAAGATTTTTATTTTGTTGAGGAAAAAGGACTGATAAAAGCTTATACTTAATTTTACTCATTTGTTGACAAAGATTTTATCATAATTGTTTTGAATGTTCTACCTCAGATTTGTGAAGTGATCCACTGTTTGGCCTCAAATGATGACTATAAAAAAAGAGATTAAAACCACAATAACCATCAGGTTTCTTCAACTTTCACTCAGGAGCAAAAATCAGCCGTTAAACTCAAAAGAATTAACGATTTGATACTTATCGTGATAATTATCGATATCAAAAGATATGAAACTTTTTATCGTGATAACATTTTTGCCCATATCGTCCAGCCCTAATTATAATTGTTAGTACGAGTAGTAGTATATTAGTATTTTTTTATTTACGGTTTCTGTTTAGCAGGCCCACACAATAGACACAACATTTCCTTTAATGCTCATTAGTAGTAGTAGTGTTCTATAGCAGTGGTCGGCAATGGGCGGCCCACGGGCCAAAGCTTGCCCGCCAGCAATAATAACTGGCCCGTGCCAGATTACTTTGATAGCGGCAAAAAAACATTATTGAGGCTGGTGCTGAAACAGTCATGACAGCAAAAGTTACTGACATAATCACTTCCTCTTAAGTGATTGTGCCTACTGTAATAAAAGCGTGAGAACGTCTTTGCAGTAGTACTTTATGTCCTGTTTAATTGAGAGAGAATCCAAAGCTTTGAAACAGGCAATACATTGAGAGAAAATCCATGAATCCCACAATCATTTAGCCCCTAAAAAATATAGATGACACTGTGCCAAATGTGCATTTACACGTTCATTCACAACAGTTCAGTTCAAATTTAACAGAACTGAGAGATGCAGCTGCATCTGAAGGTAAAGCCAAGGCTCCTCTGTGTAAAGGTAAACTCAGTCAGCAATGACTGTATTAACATAACTATTGTATGATAAACTTGATTCAACGATCAGAACATGGTCATTACCATAACATTAGCTAAGAGTTACATGGGCTGCTGCATTTATTCACATTATAGGATTTAAACCAGCCAGTGCAGAGGAGTGTAAACTTCACCAGATAAAAGCTGCAGGTGTGCCGTTGCAGTGTTAATCAACTGGTGTTAACTTACATTTGAATCAATAAGGAATGTTGTGCTTGACAGTTCATTCTGAGGAAGCGGGTTCTTTAAGAGTCTTGTACATTTAAAACTGTAGTATTGAGGCTACAGTCCCAGTAGGAAGATATATTATTTTCATTTCATAAGCAAATAAAGTTATTAAAACTGTTCTTCTTCTAACCTTGAGTCTGCACACAACAGGCTACATCTGTTAGACAGGAAATATTTTAGCCATGTCTTCACAACGCTCACTGTTAATTTGATTGTTTGGTCGATTGTAGCGTAACCATGTGTTCTTATCATCTTTAACATGGATTTTGACTTACAGAGTCAGAGTAGTTGAATTAGTCTGTAGATAGAAAGTGGGCATAAAATGCTGGAGACTGGGCAGGTGGAAAAGATGGAGCAAGAGATGAGAGCAGAGTGAGAGGAAAAGGCGACTGGGTTGACATTTTTTTTTCAACATTCCTGTGAGTCACAGGATTCTTGTGGGATTCCTGCGGGATGGGAGTCACTTTCAATATTCCTCACGGGTCTAGGACAGGACAGGAAAAAAAGTAAATGGGAGATGGATGGGAACCATAGGTTACTTTTAATATGTAAATATGTATTTCTTATATAAATTAGGGGTTGGCCAATATGTTTTTTTTCTGGGCCGATCCCAATTATTAGTAACAAATTATACCGATGACCGATATTTGGAACCGATATACAGTAAGTACATTTGCTGTAAAAATTTTAATCTTGGTGTAAAAATTTAGAATAAAACAAACTCCGACACTAAACTTTGTTGAAAATAACACTTTTAAAGTTAATTGTCTTCTTTAATATTTATACATAGTAAATTAAATGAATTAGAGATCCATCCCACAGATGGACTTACAATGAGTAATAACTTTTCATAAACTTTGTCTTTACCTGCTGCCGTTTATATTGTTGTATATTATATTTTATATTGTTAGGATTTTATTGAAACATTATTGATACTATTTATTGGTTCTGTTATTTATCTATACTGTTATTGGTTTTTCATTACTAAATATCTGCCTTTTAAAAAATAAATAAATTCAGAACAGTAATCAAATTTAATATTTTATGATAAATGTTTTCAGAGGAACAAAAGTAAAAATTACAGCAGCAAACTCACTATATAAATATATATTTCACTGGAAACAAATGGAACATGTAAAATAAACTATATTCCTGAAGTCAAAATACTTAGTTAAGAAAGAAGAGCACAAACATCAGTAAGTATCAGTCCTCCTTCTGTCCCCACCCTCCCTGCTGCTCCTGGTAGAGAGGAGCTGATTTTACAAGGATTAACTCAATTTTAAGGCTACAGGCTACAGAGATTTTGTTTTAGCATGTTTATAACAAACTAGCTATTAGCCAAGCTAGCATATGTGCTTGTGTAAAACCAAAACACAGCTGTGGTGGATAAGAGAGCACATTAAAATATGGCGTTGTACACGTTCCTGCTGGTTGTACTGATGCAGTAGCAGCCTTTTAATGGTATTGCAGGTTTTGCTGCACTTACAGCTACAGGCTGTAGTTATGTTCAACTTGTGTAATCTACACTGATCTCCGCTAACTTCGATCCATGTGTGTATACCGTAAAACTTTGAATAATAGCCCAGGCTTTTATTTGCTAAAATCACTGAATTGACCCTGCCTATATTTGGGACAGGCTTAACCAGTGGACTTAAGGAGTGCTTCAAAGGTAACGGCAGTCAGCACTTTTTTCCTTTCCTCTCTTGTACCAAGCAGGTTACACTGGTAAATCTATAAGAATAAGACTTTGGGGCTTGTTGTTTCCCTTAAATGAAGTGAACGATTGAATTCTGACATACTGATCATATGTTTAAATATTAATATTGTATTAACGATCTAAGCAGCTAAAGCAGGCGATCCCGCGGGGTTTAAGAGGTTTTATACATCCAAAGAACTTCTATAAAAACTAGACCAGGCGTTTAATTGAGGCAGGCGTTTGTCAAAATGTGTTCCCACACCAGGCCAGGAAATGGGATCGGCGGCTGTTTGTGACTCGGCTATTAATTGAAGTTTTAAGGTATATGGGAAGCTCTGCTGAGAGAGGAGGGGAGGGGCTGCAGCGTACATAAGTAATATAGGAGAGGAAAGGTTAAGGAAAAAAACACAATATATAGATCTATAAGCCATAAAAATCATACATAAAAGGTTAAATGTAAGAGGACACAATTTTCTGCCATAACAGCGATGGATATTTTAGAAGCACGGGGCAGGTAACGTTACAGCAACATTGAACACACAGAGTGCAGATGTTGGTTTGGGTTGTTTGATAGGCTGTGTCATTAACAAGTGGCTCACCTGCTGCCGTGATAACGGATCGCCGGTGTGTTTACCTGAGGTGTAGGAAGAAAATTCCGAGGAATGTGCAAACCATATTTAAATTTGTAATGATAATATTTGTGATGATTAAAACCTGCTTTCACATGGCGGTAGGCTATAATGTGAAAACATTTTTTACAGTCACGATCAGTCATGTCTGTCAGCCATCGCCGATGTATGATGGCATCGTCTATCGGCGATCAACCCTATCTTGAATGCATCTAATATTACATTCTGTCTACAATGAGGACCTGCAACTTTGAGATTTCACATCTGAAAGAGTAGCTAATTTGCCGGTAGATATCTTTGTTTGGCAGGAAGCAGTGTTAAGCAAGGATTATACTTTGTGTGCTAGGGTCCGCATGACGAAAAAATCGTCATCAAAGGGGGGTACGAGTAGGCTCTGTGCGGACGTCCGTGTGCCTCCCGTTTTTTATGATTGCAAGGACAGGTCCGCCGACTACGCTACCATTTATGGATTTTCTCTACCAGCTACCGGCTGTTCTGCCAGTGTATGAATGTGTCTGAATGGTGAATGCAGATGTAGTGTAAAAGTGCTGAGTGGTCGAAAAGACTCGAAGCGCTATATAAATACGGAGCATTTGGAACGAGTTTGCGAGACTCCGGAATGTAGCATAAACAGAAGTTGTCCGCAACCGTCCATGTATAGTGTATATTTCAGTGTATATATAGTGTATATAGTGTATATTTCAGGCTTTAGATTCTTGTTCAGCTCAAGTTTAGTTACATGTGCCCTCTGGTTTAATCATTTCTGACACACTGACTGTAACTACACACTAGGGATGCAGTGATTTCACCATTAACCGCGCTTCAAAACCTCATGGTTAATTAATCGTAAAGGCTCCGCAACACCGGCGCGGTGGGGCGCCTGTGGCTCAGGAGGTAGAGCGGGTTGGCCGTTAATCGGAAGGTCGGTTCAATCCCTGGCTCGTGTCGAAGTGTCCTTGGGCAAGATACTGAACCCCGATTTGCCCCTGGCGGCTGTTCCGCCAGCGTATGAGTGAGTGTGAATGTTAGTTTCTGTTTGAGCACTTAGGCTCAGTGTGTGAATGGTGAATGCATGATGTAGTGTAAAAGCGCTTTGAGTGGTCGAAAAGGCGCTATACAAGAACGGAGCATTTACATTTACACCGAGTGCACAAAACAAAACTAGCACAAAATGAAAACGCTGTGCGCGTATCAGAGACATGGAGGCTGCTACTGTCAACTGCAAACTCTGTCCAGGGCGTTACTGAAGAGGTGACGGATGACTCTTCAAGAACATGGCGTTAAAAGGTTGCTGCTAAAGGAGCGAATAACTACATTAAATTTGTATAAATACATAATAACGTGGCAAGTTGGTAGGGAATTAAATATAAACGTGTCACTTATAATTGATGCCATAGTGGTGAGGGTCGAGCTTTCAGTGCAACGTAAACGGACAAAGCTGCATGTAAGACCCACCGCAATGACAGCACCGCTACTAATGGCTTGTGTCCACGCCACGGCGGTTTGTTGCTGTGTCAAGCAACACGCACCGCACGTCAAAGTAGTTTAACTTTTGCACTGAGCAGTTTCCACGCAGTGCTTTGTTTCTGAAAGGGCCTTTGGGGCGGCTGTGGCTCAGGAGGTAGAGCGGGTTGGCCGTTAATCGGAAGGTCGGCGGTTCAATCCTGGCTCCCCCTGGTTGCGTGTCGAAGTGTCCTTGGCAAGATACTGAACCCCGAATTGCCCCTGGCGGCTATTCCTCCAGCGTATGAGTGAGTGTGAATGTTAGTTTCCGTTTGAGCACTTAGGCTCAGTGTATGAATGTGTGTGACTGGTGAATGCAGATGTAGTGTAAAAGCGCTTTGAGTGGTCGAAAAGACTAGAAAGGCGCTATACAAGTACGGAGCATTTACATTTACTTTGTGGAATAATGTAGTCCTCTCAAGACCTTCAGGCACTGAACATTGATGTTACCTTCAATTGTGTGGCTATAGCCAAGCCAACCTCACTTGGTGTGCAGAATCTTCTGAAAATAAAAGGCAAACAAAAAGCAAACATGGATATTATGATTGAAGTATAAGTGTGGAGATATTCTAAATGTTTTCCTATTGTAAGCAAACGTGCAGACCCAAACATCTACTGAATGTCTTCTACTAAAGTACTGTGTGTGCATCCAAAGCCCAACTATTAAAAACAGTGAGCCACACTTCTGCACTTGGTGACATGCTCCTTCATCACCATGAACACACTCCTGCTGCCCCAAATAGTCACTAGAGCCTTTTTTTAAATGAAACTGTGTTTGTGAGGTGTTTTAAAAGATGATCGTCTTCATTAGGAATCAGCGGGCTGGGGGCTGAGAGCCACAGACAGGAAATCAGAAAGTAGTTGAGTAGTTGAGTTAACAAATTCTCCTTGCTTTCAAGTGCATTACATGATAACAAAACTTTGACAGAAAAGGTGCAACCATGTTGATTTGATGCATTAACTCTAACAAGCAAGTTGATTTTTATTAACACGTTGAAATATACTAAAACTATAGCAGGTAGGATGTCTGAAACCTAATAGTATCTCTTCCATATCTAATGTTTGCTTCTGACACATGCTTGTGTTGGTGTTGATGTCTTGTGTAGGGCCAGAAAGTTGATGCTGCCTTCACTTCCTCCTGGTCTCCATCGTCCCGTTTCAGCAGAGCCTCAACTCCTTGTGTGTGCAAGTTGATAGTGTATGCAACTGACTGCACCTGTTGTGGGTGTGTGGGTGTGTGTGTGGGTGTGTGTGTGTAAATTCAATCCTATGTGAGTGTGTTGCTTTAAGGTAGTGTATGTGAGTGTGTGTGTGTCTGTGTCATTCCCTCCCAGCCCATCATGTCCCTGTATCCCTCAACGCTCCTGCTGAGTCTTCACCTCCTCTGCCTGCTGCTGCTCCTCGCTGACTCCTCCACGGTAGCTAGAAAGGACCTAGTTTCGCCCGACGCCGTACCCCAGCTCACAACGCAAGCTAACTGCTCCACTGGATGTGAGTATGAGCCAGTATTCATTCATTAAGGAGCTATGGCTAGCTGTGGCTACACGTTACAGCTGAAATGCAGAAATGCCTAATGCATACATACTGTAGATTGCTCTTGCAGAGTAGCTGATGTGAATTCCTGGATATTCACTAGGGCTGGCCTGAATGTCATTTTTTTTGAGCTTCAACGCTTCGATAGTAATTAAGAGCGAATAATCGAAGCTTCGCCTAGGCTAACTGAGTGAATATTACCAAATCTTTGTTTTTAACTTTGTTATAGCACAGGTAGCAGACCCAAGTGCAGGACTAAGGAAGGGAGAAATATTTATTGCAGGTTAAAAAGATAGGATATTGAGCAGGTGAAGAGCAGGCAGAGTGAAAATCGGTGCGTGCGAACCGGGTTGGTGGCTGCTGGACAGAGCAGGGGGAACCGTAGCTGAGAGTCCAGAGTGAGAAAGTCTGATCCAAGTAGGTCCAGAGCAGAATCCGGGAATAGTTTAGCAGGGCGGGGGTCCAGACGGAGAGCGCACGGGATGAGAGGTGTTTCCGGTAGCGGAACTAAATCTAACACGTTATCATGCAAAATTCACAATCGGCCTAATATAAGTGCTCCCACACAGCTGAGGGCTTCATTTCGTTTTCCCTTTGATGTGACCTGGAGCGTTGCGTTCACTGCTGTTGGCGGAGGTCAGGCACGCAAAAAACCCCTCAATAATCAAATCTCATAATTGAAAATTGAATGTGTACCCAACGGTGGAATATTTGGGTCCAGCCCTAATATTCACATATTCAAATATTCATATTTTCTGTAGTGTCCCAGTAATATTTGTTTTTACTGAAGCATGCTACATAACCTAGTTAAGCTCTGTTTGAGACTGAGAACACAAGCGTAGATACTGACATACTGAATATCTTGTAAAACTATTGGTTTATTATAACAAACAATCTTTTCTAGCAAAATATTATTGACAAATGTAGTTCTCGTCCTTAGAATTATACTCACTCACACTTTCATAAGACAGCCTATCACTTTTTATTTATTATTTTGTTATTCTGACTTTTCTCAGTATAGGTGGCATGTTCTTTCATGTTTGTAATGAACTAATATCACATTCTACATATATCTGTTTGAACTTTTATATTTGATAAAGTGGGGAAAAAGTTGATTACCAAAATAAAAACTTTATTTCCATCCATTTCAGCAGTGTAAACAAACACTCCATTCAGTCACATGCAAAGCAACGTTCACAAACCCAGACTGTCATTTGCAACTTCTGCCATTTGCAGCATCTGTCACGGCGCACTGTGCTGATTACAACACAGTGTCACCATGTCAGTGTAATGCTACAACTGCAGTTACTAATTACAGAAATCCACAAAATGCAATGCTTGTTAGAAAACAGTGTCAGAGTTTGGTAGAGAGCTATAGACGGGACCAAGTTTGATGGAGACGGCCACCTCGTAATTCTCTATGCAGGAAAAAATCTGATACTGTACCTGGCCTAGAAATGATTTTCTGACACAGGTGAGCTGAGCACAGATTAATTGCCATTAATACAATCATCTTGTCACCAAACATCTGGAAGATCCTAAGGCTTATGCCGCCTTCATTTGTTGATCTTAGCTCTGATTTTAATACCATGGAGCAATTCAGAAATTGAGGCAGATGCATGTTAATTCTCTTATTAGTAGTTGTTTGTCAGCCATGCCATACCAGCGCCCTTACAGAGCAGTAGGGGTCCCCCCAGCTCTCCTGCTCTCTTCACATTATAAAATATAGGGCTGCAGCTAATGATGTGTCGATTAAGTACTTCTTAAACGACACAACAATACTGTTACCTCGTCTGTGGTCGCTTTTTGTTCAGCTGCTGTTATGCTGTTGCCAAGGCGACATAAGTTTCGTTTTACGGTGGATGGACTGTAACATTAGAGAGTTGTTGTTTTCTTTGGCTTGAAATAATCCCAGACTTTGGGCACTTTCTTCTTCGTCCCTCGCTGTTTTCTCTGTCTTCCTCCAATTTGCCAACAGCAACATTATAATCACGTCATGTTCACAGTGTAAGTGCGCTGTGCGACAGTAATAAATGTCCCTGCGAAACACTGCTGTAAAGTTAAATGGATTAAACGAAGCATCGATGCAAAGAATTTATGTCGATGCATTTTTTTTTATTGATTTTATCGTTTTTAATCGATGAATCGTTTCAGCCCTAATAAAATAATTAATGCACAAGCAGCACCCCAGGAAACTATATTTTCAAATTCTCCGATGACAGCTATTTTGGCATACTGTACAAAGACAGCTTGTGCTCAGGTCACTTCATACAAGAATATGGAAGTTCACGTTGATTAACTCTTCAGCACACAACCCCCAAAGTAACCGTGCCAGTGATTCGCGACCCCTACTATCCCCAGAGGTGGTATACAAATGTTACGCACAACCTTGCACTAAACACGTCTAAACACAGCATAATGACAACAGAGTGGGTGGGTTCAATCCCCCACCGTGACACATCCACTGTTGTGTCCCTGAGCAAGAAACTTAACCCCTAGTTGCTCCAGAGGCGATACAGAGTATGTTCAAGAATCAGTCACATCAAAAGTATCAAAAAACGTCACACGCACGTTCACTGAATCTGAACATGAGCTACAACAATAAAAGCACGTTCACTCACTGGTGTCCAGAAAGCAAACAGCACAAAAATAAATACATCTTTTAATAATTTCTAGAAGATATATTTTAATGTTTTCTATAGCCTGTCAAGAAAATACAGTTATACAGGCAGAGATTCAGCAGCGCACAGAAGCTGTTGCCGTGGTTACTACCTATAGAGCAGGTTTTACTCGCGGAGCGTTCGTCTGTCTGTTCACATGAGAAACGATTTTAATGCCAGATTGAACTGCTAAGTTCCTATGTCACTGTATAGGATTTATTTATATAGGATATAGGACACTATATTAGATTTAACTGCTAAGTTCCTATATCACTATATAGGATTTATTTATATAGGATATAGGACACTATATTAGATTTAACTGCTAAATTCCTATATCACTATATAGGATTTATTTATATAGGATATAGGACACTATATTAGATTTAACTGCTAAGTTCCTATATCACTATATAGGATTTATTTATATAGGATATAGGACACTATATTAGATTTAACTGCTAAGTTCCTATATCACTATATAGGAACTTAGCAGTTAAATCTGGCATTAAAATCATGGGTGTTAAAAATCACAAAAAATAGCCTCCAACCTCATCCACCGCCTACACATTGAGTTTTAGCTCCTTAGATTCTCGTCTGTATCAAGCTTTTAAACACTGTAAAATGAAAGGTACCACTTGCCACACTGGGTATGTGATATAAAAGTGGGTGTGTTTACCAGTGTCAACTGAACATGTCTGAATACTTTACAAAGCTTTTATCACCAGTGTTTCTTTGGTCAATTTTTTGTCTGTTACATAGGCTTTGGTTATGTTATTCAGATCTATCATGTTTTATAATGATTTATTGTAGTTTCCTTAGTTTAGCTTAGTCATTCATTGATTTTTTTACTTTTTTCTTTCCCAGGTGATGATGGTGTTGTCGCTGGAAATGCTCAAGTTAACAGTTCATCAGACCAACCTGCAGAAGGAATGCATTTATTCACAGCCTCACCATCCAATCAGCTTCCAGAGACAGTCACAAGGCCTGCCGCCACAAGCTCGCCCACACAGGCTGCTCATACTGGATCCATTATCAGCACTGGTGCTATTACATCCACAACTGCAGAGCCTGTTAGGAATGTACCCACAGTCCCTGTACTAGTGACTTCTACAACCACATCTACGACCACGGCCACAGCCACACCACCACCACCATCTACAACCACAACACCAATGGCTACAACAACAACCAAAACATCACCGATATCAGCAACATCCACAACAACAACCACAACAACACCTACAACAACAACACCTACAACAACACCTACAACAACACCTACAACAACACCTACAACAACACCTACAACCACAACCACAACAACAACCACAACAACAACCACAACAACACCTACAACAACACCTACAACAACACCTACAACAACACCTACAACAACACCTACAACAACAACAGCAAAAGCAGCACCACATTCTGCAACAACTGTGAAAACGACCACACTTACAAGAGGGAACACAACTGTTGCCATCACTACTACCACAGGTACAAAGTCACCTCTACCACCACCATCATCATCTGCTGCCACGCCACAGCCAAATATAAGTACTGGGATGCACCCAATTCAAACCTTCTCTTTACCCACAAGGCCTGCTACCATAACTGTTACCAGTACCATTACTTCCGCCAATCACAATGAGCCAGCTGTCTCGGGTACAAGGGTTGCCATGGTAGAAGTAGCGGGGGCTGCTCTGACCAGGCAGCTGGTGGACACAGCGTCTTTACTGGCTGTCCTGCTCTTTGGGCTTCTCTTCTTCTTGGTCACGGTGGCTGTATTCGTCACACAGGCCTACGAGAGCTACAGGAGGAAGGACTACACCCAGGTGGACTACCTGATCAACGGCATGTATGCCGACTCTGGGGTGTGAGGGGACAGGGGGGCACAACTCATGGAGATAGTTGTTGGAGTCAGAGACTGTAAAATGGAAGGTGGGCTGGATGGTAGAACGGTGGTGCTGTGAATTCACAGGGTGAAGGTCAGTTTAGTTAATTTCTACTTGTACCTGAACTAACAGTGAGCAGTTCTCACCGACCAGACTCTGTTCTGATCTGTTTCTATCATAACAGTCCCACTTAATGCTTTGGGCTTCCATGCTTCTCCTCCTTTGATGGTTTGAATGTGAAGTTTGCCTTGTCCCATTTTTGCCAAATGTTGAGCAATATAAATAGAGATTTCCTGGATGTAACTCCAATTCTTTGGTCCTCTAACAGGTTGGCTATTGGCCCATAATTTCCCCCACATTGCTGGTCAGTCCAGTTGTAGTTGGTTTTAGGGTGGCTGGACCAATCATCATGCTTCCAAGGTGACAGAAATCTCAACCGATGCTCTTGTCAGTTGAGGTTTCATTTCCAGGAGAGCTGTTTTGTTTGTTAGACTGAAAAAAGACATGTTTTTTGGGGTTGTCTTGTGTTATTGATTTTTTTTTTTTGAATTTTTTTTATATTCTCTGGCTGTCTGTTACTGTCTCTTATCAGATGAACTTAGTCACATAGAAGTCTAGTGGTCATTAAGGACTAGGACTGTAAGTTTTTCAAAATGTCACCACATAAGTTGATTTGTATGCAACCATATAGCGTAAGACATTTCCCCTATGTTCAAATAAATGTTCAAATTTTGAGTAAAAAGGAAGAGCCCTTTAAAGGACCAAAGCATATTTGTGAATAGTATGACCCAGATGTGACTTTCAGTTTTTAGTAAATAACAAAATTACTAAACATGTAAATGCAATAACAGTAAATTCATTATAAATGTCTTAGTCAACTTAGACCCTAATGTCCAATTAGTTGACTGTTTGACTAACAAGGAACAGCTCTTATATTAGAACGTCTAAAACACATCACATCACATTGGAAATGAACCAAGATGTGTATAATGAAACATTCCCACATATGTGGGGAAGAAGCACATCAATAGGGATGAGTGATAATTGAGGATGATGAGTATGATCATTTATCAACTCTCAGTCATACGAGTATATGATCGTTTGTGTTATAGTTTTTCAAAATGGTTTGTCCAAATTTAATTAAAAACTAACAAATAGTCTTCCTTAAGATTTTGTTTTGCACATTTTAATAATTTTGTCTGATGTAATACATAACAGTGGAGCACTATTAATAGTTGTCATCAGTTCAATAATTTTACATATAACTTACATGGCCGTAACAATTGGCCATATGGGAAACTCCTTAATGATACTGTGATCTTGATGTCAACTATATTGCCCAGCCATACACTTTTTCATTACATTTCCACCTCTGTCAAATATTTTCACTTCCAGTAAGGCAAAGGTCACAATGATTGATTGTTCAGCTGATGCTAGCTTAAAGATATATTGTCATTTTGTTGCAGTGTTCAACATCAAACCCAGACCACTGCTGATATTTTGAAAGTGGTCATAGTGAAGTTGTCCTCACCTTGCTGTAGTGATATAGAAGTGTATTTTAGGGTGTGTCAGGATGCTGTGACATCACTGTTGCCTGTAGTTACAGGAAACCACAGCCCAAGCAAACACAGGTATTCAGGTGTTCACACAGGTTGTTTTTTGTGCAATGAGGAATTATTAGCAGAGCAAGATTTTCTGGTGCAACCTCACCTACTTCCAAGGTGCACAGAGAAGGGGAAGAAAGTAGGGCTGGGCAATACAACAACAATAATGATAATTATCGCAATATCATTTTCCTCAATAACAATAAAGCAAATGTTCAATATATCGTCAATGAATGATTATGATGATAAATTATTTAATTATTTTGAATGAAAACCTAATCACTGAATTTGTCTATTAAGATATTTATTTTGTTGAGGAAAAGGGACTGAAAAAGATTTACTAATCAAATTTTTTGAAAGAATTTTTTCATAATTGTTTTAAATGTTCCTCTGCCTCAGATTTGTGAAGTGATCCACTGTTTGGCATCAAGTGTTTGTTCTGACCATGAAGAAAAGTTTAAAACCACAATTAACCATCTGGTTTCTTCAACTAGCAAAAATCAGCCTTTCAACCTGAAAGAAATAATGATTTGACATTTATCCTGATAATTATAGATATAGAATGATTGAAATGTTTTTATCGTGATAACATTTTTGGCCATATTGCCCATTTTGAGGCCAACCCCTTTTGGCCTGTGGCTGTCAGGATCATTTGGACTTTGACCTCCAAACAAAGTGGTTTAGAGAAACTGTAATTATTACTGATACCCAAAACTACAAAAATAAGCGGTGTGTGTGTATAAACAGTTGAATAATCCTTCAGATGTCCTGTCCGATGAAACACCAGTCCATCAGTAGCAGTGGTGTGCCATGAAAAAGATCTGACCTGGGTGACTTCCGTACTTGAATCAAAAGTAAATGAGTGGGTAGAAAAAATGGACTATTCCACAGATGTATGATTTCTCAGAAAGCTATTTCACACAGGTACTCCTACCAGTGGAAGTTGTATTTCCATCGCTCTGCAATGCGTTTCCCCAGATGATGTTCATGCTTAGCTATGACATTAAAGAAGGAGGTCAGGCGGACAGATTTAAAAAAAACTGCCCCATTCAGTTCACACTGAGAAGGAATAAGATCCATCCCAGTTACATTATGTCTAGTGCTTTTGAAGATCTTAATGATTTCAGGCAGTAGTAAGGTCTGATTCATGTGCACATGCATTTGTTCAACACATCTCTTCCTTCATTACTTTATGAAACATTTTGGGAAATAGGCTTGCTTGCTCTAGAACCCACGGTTACAGTACACAACAAAATGCTTTTAAGTTCATCATCTGCATGGTCCTGGTTTTTTGCCTATCTTGGTACAAAGCTGGGCAGTAGCTAGTGTGGAGGAATATTTTTCAAGAAAGCTTCACTTTTCACTGCACAGGTTCATGAAGTCTCTTCTAAAGACTACTATGCCAGTGTAATATCTCTCTCTGTATTTGGTCAATTTAATTCACATCAAAGGCTATCTTCCTGGATGAGTAGTTCATCCATCATCTCTTGTAAAATAGAAACCAGGTTTCAACAACAGGTCCAGTTCAAACTGTGGCTTCTGAGGTTACAGTAGATGAAGAGACTACTTACCCCATTTGTTCCATTTAACACAGGTTTAAAAATCATCTTAAACCTTAAACCACAGCTAAGCTGAGGTTAACAATGTCTGTTAACATTTTTAGCGTGTAGACACAAAGACACAGATGTGGTTATAGCTTTGCCCAGTACAAATATAAAGCAGATTTGAGGGAGCTAGGCTAGCACTTTCCCCTGTAACACATCCTGGCCCTCTTTCTTACTAGAGATACAGTCTCTGTACATCTGATCTTCTCATCTAACTGTGGTTAACTGCAAACAAGAATATTCCATATTCCAGGTTGTTTCTCTAAAATTTAATTTCAATGTCTTATGATATCACTTTCATTACGTTCCATTAGCTTTCATTGATGCCAATGACAATGAGAGCTGTTTCATGTTTTTGCACACATGTCCTGCAGTGAATCATGGGGACATGGCCATATTAGATTGTTTATTTAAATATATTTTATATTTTTGTTCACGTGGATGTATTTTTGAATGCTTAGCTATTTTTTATATATTGGATTCTTTATTAAACCACTGTTTATCCCTGTTCATGACCAACCTGTGGGTTATATTTAGTCCACATTCCTAAACAGATTTGTCATGTAGCTTAATGTGTCCCTCACTGTACATATTCTCATATTTTTGAGATGTTAAATATTTCACTGATGTACATGAATCTTAAGCCATTCAAAAAGTATTATATTATTATAATTATGGGTTTTTTCATAATGAGATAAAGCTCCCAATAGGTTTTCCATGATTATGATTAAAATACTGTAGCTCGTGAGAAAGAATGTAAGATGAATGCACAGGTAACTATTGTCTAAAAGTTTGAATTTCACAGTGTTACAGTTATGAACAGCAATGATTATGGTTCTACTAGACTAGTTGTCCTTAACAGTTTTTATCTCCAGTCCTGGTACAACAATGTTCTCCATGGTTTTGCAATATGTTTGGAGTGTGTAAGAACAAAAACATGAGACAAGCTAAATGCTACAGAGTGAATTGCTGTTGCCTTTTCTGTTTTACTGTATCTTGACCAGTTTGTATTACTTTTCCTCTGAGGGATTCAGGGTTGATATCACCAAATAATCACTGAAGCACATTATTGTATGATAAAGCCAAGGGAAACACAAAGCCATTGTCAATATGTGACTAAGTGTAAGGACGACATGACTTGTACTCCTCAACATGAAGGTGAATCTGAAAGCTCACACAGCAGAAGATGACTTCAACGGACAAAGTCATGTTTGTGTTATTGTGTGTTTCTTCTGTTAATTTTCCATATCTTCTCTATCTTGATGTCATGCCATAACTGATTTGTTGTTTCCTCAACTCTTTTTTTTTTTTCTTGTTTTATCTCTGTCACAGTTTTCTCTTGAATATCAAGTTACTTAATAAGATTTTTATCCCGTTATCTCAGGAACAGAGTCTTGATCTTGATATCCAGAAAAGAAGCTTTTGTATACACATGAATAAATGTCTTTATTCCATTACCTTGAGGAAACAAGATGATTTGAAAACAGCCTTTTGTTTTCTCATGAGAATTTTACTTTTATTCCATGAAAATAAGATCCCGTTATCCCGTTACAGTAAGAAAATGGGATCTTCTTTTCAGTTATCTATTAAAAAAATGACCCTGGTTTCTCATTTTAAAGATCTTTTCCTGTTATCCTGAGAAAATAAAATATTTATCCACTATCATGACAAAACTAGATATTTATCATGTTATCTTCAGAAAACGTTTTTTGTTGTTATTTTGAATAACAAAATAAGTTGTCGTTATGAAAAACTGACATAGTTATCCTAAGATCATCAACTAATGATGTCAGTAACGTGATTATAAAATGAATTGCAACCATGGCTACTCCTGGCTTTTATACGTGGATGTAATTATTTTTATGTTTTATTTTCTCATGATCACTGACTAATTTTAATAATCTCAGCATGACAAATTTTGTTTTCTTGCTATATAAAATAATTATTCATGTTGTCAGCGTCAAATCATCTTCAAATCATTAGATAAAACATTCAAGATCCAGACATTAGGTAATGGCTGCCTTATGTCTGGTATTTAGAGATGATTACCATGCTGGACTCTTATGTCTTGTTGAGTAATGATCACCAGAAAACCATTTGGATTTTCCTGAGATCACAAAATATGATTCAGCGATCATTGGAAACAAAATCTAAGACTTCTCTAGCCTCCTGTAAGATTGGCTTCAGGTCTACAGTGATGGCAGAAATCTGTCTTCTGACTATTAAGATGTAGTATATACTGTACCAAATTGTTCTGGATGATGTCACTATGTCACTGAGCATTTTCAAGATGGATTTGTGTTTGCAATGACAGATATGCAGAATATCAAGAAAAGACACCTGCCATGTGCCAACCCAACATTGTATGAATGCATTTTGAAAAGATATTTTTACTTGCAGCGAATAAATAAAGAAAAAACAAACTGATCAAGTTGGTTTTTGACTGAACAATGTTGTCTAATCTTGTGCTGAATTACTAGCTGCGTGCTGTTGTGCAGTTACAGTGTAATACCATCATTCCACATGAAGAGAGCACTAATTGAAAGCTGAAGTGCAAAGCGGTGCGAGGTTTAGCCAGTGGTTCAGTTTGTGTGGACGGGTCCCTAAAAGAAGCAGCTGTTCAGCACATCCATCTGCACATCAGGTTTCTTACAGGATGCACAACAAGTTGGACTTAGCTTCTGTACCACGTACAGACAGAGTTTTACGCAGGTGTGACATGTGGTTTGTGCAAAAGCTTTTGCAATGTTTTAGTTGTGGAATATAATTTTCAAGCTTAATTAACATTTGGATTCCATAACTTCAGTACAAAATAAAACGTCCTTCCATCACAGTGAACATCATGTCTTCTCTACATTAAAGATTCCCTGTGAAGTTTGATGTCTAGTAGTGCTATTACTCTGAGCGAGTAGCCGTTTTGTTTATCATGTGCATGTGGGCTAGGACACACATGCATGCAGGCATGTGTGGTGTGACACAGTCTTTCCAATGGTATTATTATCATATTTATTATTATTATGGATGCATTCATATGTAGGCAGCACTTGAATCTCATAGCTGGGCCAGCTGGAGCTAATATGACCATCTTTATATCCTGGGTTAGGGTTAACCCTTATCCTGGGTATTTGTAATATTACAGCATACTTCATAAGATGATTCCATGTCTTTTTATAGAGTAAGTAGTGTAGCTGTCAAATAAATGTAGAGAAACTAAACTACTAAATGTACTTCACCCAAAGACCCATGAGAGCAACCTAGAGAGACAGACATCTCAGCGAGGATGGAGTTGGGTGGACGAAGGTTACAAAAAACAAAGCCCAGTTGGAAGTTCCCTCAAGTTTACAGAGAGCTTTTAACGAGGAGAGAATATGATGTGATCAAGAGTGGTATATTATGCTATACTTCTTAAATGTATTGGACATCACCCAAGAAAAACACTCACCTTTACGCAGGCAGTCCTGATAATGTTATCAAGGTTATCACAGCTTGGAGACCACACATTTATAACAGAAAGCCTGTGTTACAAACTTACAGGAATAAATGCTGTCAAGTTGCATTATGAAATGCAGAAGATCCAAGATTTTTGAATCAACTTAGGAACTTAAGATCAGGAAAGCTCAGCCTCTGTGACCATTCATTTTTAAATCTTTCACTTGTTTTCTAACTTTATTAAAAAGCAATACTACAAAGCCAGAGAACTACTTTCCGTGAACTGATGAACTGAAGGTTACAAAACAACCACAGATTAAAGATCAGCTGAAGTGCACTGCAGTCCAAACAGTTTCGACCACTAAAATTACACATGAATCCCCAAGTTTCCATGTGTACTGCAGCGTGTTACAGCAATACAAAGTTTGCAGCACTTCATGTCTGCACTGATATGTTTTCCAGAGCATCAGCGAGTGCTTTTCGTCTTAGTCATCCTGCATAACTCTGGTAACACACCCACAACAAAGACAACACACACAGCAACATCAGTCAGGGTGCATGTTAGTTCAAACATGGCAAGCCACACACAGACTAAACACCACACACAGTAAACATGTTTCTCAGCCATGCTGTGCAGTTTAGAGCCTCACACATATTCAGCCTTTCAGCCTGTGTATTCCTCTGCATGGATAATTTAGAGTGCAGAATTTTATTTTGTAAATCTTTTTACTTCCACCATGGGAATGTACTCACATTTCAACACATCACTGCCATAGACAGAATATACTGCATAGATAATCAAACAAAACTTGCCTGATACACTGAAGAGGAAGAGGATAAGGAATGGGGGCTCAGGGAATCTATGCCTAAAGGCAGGGTTGTTTTTCTAAAACACTTTTTTTCATATATGTTGAAACTGTCTTAATATACCAATAAATATTAAAAAGTTAAGTGCTCTAAACAAGAGATAATGGAAATCTGTAGTCCTCACACGGCTGCAATAAACCCAGACACTCGTTCCATTTGGACCGAATGTTATGTCTTCCTCGCTATATAGCTACCAGCCCTGCTGCTCCTGTTTTGTTACAAAGTTTTGTTAAAAGTAGGAGAGGAAGGGCTTTAAGACTTTAAAACCCCTAGTTTAGTCCCTTGTGGAGTATAACAGTTTACTGTTATGGTGGTTTGGCAGATTTTCACTAAATTAACTCTAACTCCTGTGCCAGTAATGACAGGAAGCCTGAAAGTAGACTGTGCACCTGAAAGTGCAAACTCCTCAGCAGCCACATATATTGAAATTCCTGCTAGAAAATGTTTCAGAGACTATAGACCAGAATGGTACGAAACAAATAACATTCTGTCTCAGCCCTGAAAATATATACAGTATTTAAAATGGCTTGAATGACTTGTAGTGGACTAGGAACAGCTGTAGACAGGGGCAGCCCTACAACATGATGTATAATTAGTGGGTGTCCTACTAAGGCTACATCTATACTACTACGTTATTGTTTTAAAAGGAAAACAATCTCCATCCACACCAGCGTTTTTTCAAAGTCCTCCATTTTCTCACATCCACACTAAAATGCTACCCCGGAGTTTTGAAACGAAAACGGAGCATTTTCAAACTTCTCCGTTTTAGTTCTTCAGATTCACCGTTTTAGTCTGGAGGAGGTGCAAATGGAGCAAAAGGTCTGCAAGGAAAACGTAGTAGTGTGGATGTAGCCTTAGTCCCCCATCCTCCTGGGAGAGTCCTACTCCCCCTTCCTCTGGCTCTCAGGCTAACTGCCCTCTTTAGCCTGACAACTCTGTCCCAACTCCTCCCCTCCCTGTAACCTCTGAGGGCCTCACTGCTGACCAGGTGAGAAGACAGCTTGATGAGACTCGCCGTCTCTATTTTCTGAGGAGGCTGAGGTCCTTCAACATCTGCTGGACAATGCTGTGGATGTTTTATGAGTTTTATGAGTAGCCAGTGTTATCCTGTTTGCTGTTGCATACTGGGGCACCAAGTTAAGGGTAGAAGATGATGATAGACTCAACAAACTGAGGCCAGTGACGTTGTGGGGGTGGAGCTGGACTCTCTATCGGTGGTATCACAGAGGAGGATGCTGTCCAAGCTACATGTCATCTTGGACAATCCCACCCACTCCATGATCACTCCATCACGATTATTATACATTAATTCATTTCACAACACTGGTAATTACGGAAGCCCTAAGCGGCCATCGCTTTATATTTTTACTTTACTCCGTTTTCTCGTGATAACGGGATTATTCTCTGGTCTGATGAAACAAAAATTCTCTTTGAGTCTTTGGCCTGAATGGCAAGCGTCATGTCTGGAGGAAACCAGGCTCCGCTCATCAACTGGCCAATACCGCACTGTAAGAAATGACCTATAGAATTTAGTCAATAAACATGAGTTAACAATTTGCCCTCACATGTATTGAGTGTAGGGTACCTAAATGTACTACAGACTAAAAAAAATTAGGTAAAGTCTACTAACATTTTTAAATACTGTAATGGACTGGATGACTAGTTGATGTTTATTGTCAGAATGTCACTAAGACTGTTCTAGCCAGCTGAAGGCCGATATAGACTCCTGCCATGCATTTATACTTGTGCGTAGGTGTGTCCGTCATTCTGCAATTACACCCCCAAATGCTAGTCAGCAGTAGCTCTACAGACTTTTGCCAGCCGAGCAGGCTAACTTCCGGGGTAAAATTGTATATGTGCGGCTAGTGTAGCCTTTTCAAATGTTACCCACCGAATGGATCACATTCTGATAGCGAAACGAGTCATTTCACTCGGGTTGTGACGGTCAAATATATTGATTCACTGTGTTACAGCCACCGTTTTGGCCGCTACTAAAAGTTACTTCAAAGCACGGGGTACTTCCGGTCCGCTCGGAGGCATTGCGAGGCTACCCAGCCGACCAATCACAGAGCTTACGGTCCACGTCGACTCGACGTGTAGTTACATTTTTGAGGAGGTGCACGTCAGGCGACGGCGTAGCCTCTGCGTAGCCCCGTAGCCTACGCTGTCAATTTGACGCAGAAGTATAAATTAGCCTTAAGGCAGAAAGGGCTGTTTAGAATAAGCTCTGTGTGGGATGGTTGTTATTGTTCCTGCTTGGCCGAAGGATGTGTGTGTGTGTGTGTGTGTGTGTGTGTGTGTGTGTGAGAAAAGGTGTAGAGGGACAGAGAGTTAAGAAAATAAAGTAAGCGTGTAGCGCTCTGTGGCGGCAGAGTTGTTTTTGGTGTTGGCTACGGCCCACATTAGCCTGTATTTTGCAGTGTCCAGTGCAATACCTTCCGGACTACTGCACATGAGAGCCCTGCAGTGGTGGCTAAAATCCAAGGGATTCTCCCCGAGGGGAAATCCGCTCCGTCTGATACGGGTTACGAGCAGATGCCTTCGTTCCCTGTCTGTATGGAGGAAATCTTGGTTCCTGTCCCAAGGTCCCGTGTTGGGAGCGATCTGTCGCCGAACAATTATTTCAACAGACGCCATGGACGGCCGCTTTGCGAGAGGCCCCTGGGAGGACCGCTCTCTGTGGTTGACACATCCTTGTCAGAACCGACAATACGGCAGTGGTGGCCTATTATGCGCGCCCGTTATGCAAACTGGCACATCATATCCTCCTATGGTCCCAGCAGAGACTGCTGTCCCTCAGAGCGATGTACGTCCCTGGGACCCAGAATCAGGGAGCAGACCTGCTGTTGAGACAGGGGCTAAGGCCCGGGGAATGGAGACTCCACCCCGAGGTGGTGGAGTTATTATGCGAAGGGCCTGACGACAGGAGCAGTCGAGAAGAGAAGGATGTACGGCCTAAAGTGGAATGTGTTCACCACCTGGTGCAGAGAACGGGCGGTGGACCCAGTTACCTGCTCGGTAATTGTGATACTGGAGTTCCTCCAGCACCGTTTCTCCGCTGGCCTCTCCCTGTCCGCGCTCAAAGTGTATGTGGCTGCCATTGCAGCATTCCACGCCCCTCTGAGTGATGG